TGGTTGTATGATTAGCGGTAGTATTCACTTTTCAGTTTGTAGAAGTATATTTTGTGGATTGCTGTGCAAAATAAATTATATAATGACATCAAAAACTGTTTAAAATACAAAATTGAACAGAAAAACATTCAGAGTAAGAAACAGGAACATACGGGAGGTTTCTGATGGTCCAATGAGCGGACAGTGCGTTATTAAAAACAAATTCCAACATTTGTGTATGACAAGTATCTATCGTTCATATGTAATGATATATAACTGACACGCAGCTACAACGGGTGCTGCTGATGGGCAGCGTTAATAAAGAGTATGAACCGCGGATAAGTTCGCACGATTTCTTGTCTGATTTGACGGTGCACAACCTTCGTTGAATAAAAATTATGGTATTCTAAGAGAAAACTTCATTGTTGACAACCTGGAAAAATAATTCAACAGAGAGCACGGATGGTGGTATGTGTGCAGGTTCTGTGTAAAAGAAATTGTCATGGGTCAGGATCCGTCGACCGTTATCGTCGGTTCAATTTTCTTCCCCAACCTAAAAAGCGCTGGCAAGGTGAAGTGAACAATATGCGACTATACCGCTGGTGGTGGTGACGGTGATTATGAGAGAGCACTGCAGTACCTGGGCGCTACTGTTCATACTACGTAGAGCACCATATCCAATTTTATAATTATAAGAACATAAAAACCACAATACAACATAGTGTATTAGCTAAGAAAGAGGTATTTGGTAAATCTGTTTAGTGTTGGTTTGGAACGTCAATATTTGTTGAATATGTTATTAACAAAATTTCATTAGCAAATATATAAACCATTACGACACCAGATTGATAAATATTTATATGACTTAAAAACAGAATGCTATTAAATAATCCCTAGGTCATCAGTCACTTACAGCGATGATATTTTGAGTGCGGTTTCAGGCGTTCTGTTAGGTATTGAGGTATTAATGCAAACAAAAATTAGCAATTATAACGGAGAAATTATATGCAGTGTTGTCTATAACACATTAAATTAACAGCTATTAAAAACGTGAACAGTAAATAGACTAATCTAGATAAAATATGTATTGATAACAAATGATATTTTGGTGTAGGACAAGATGATTATTAATTATTGATTAGTATTCTATGAAACAAAAATTAACATTAATATATGAAAAATTATAACCTCAAAAGTAATATTTGAAATACTATAACACATTAAATTGTGTAAGCAATAATTTCAAATGAACATTAATAGTAATCTAAAGATAAATAAGTGATGACAAGTATTTTGTGGTTCAAGATGATCTAATAGATGTATTGGGTGTTGTAAAAATCAAAAATGAACATTAGTATATAATAGTGCCTCGATCATTTGATATATTTGCAGTAAGTATTATTAAAAACACAATATTTCAATGACATGGCCACATGAAAAGTCTTATTAATTTTTATAAAATTGACTTGGTGCTCAATGGTCACAATACAAAGTATAGGTACCGCAGTGCCCGTTCTACATAATCGTCACCCCCACCAGTGGTAAAGTCGGGATATTGTCAACTCTCATACCAACGCTGTAATGACCTCTTTTGGGTGGGGGGAAGAAAAATCGCACTGGATGAGTAACGGTCAATGGACCCCGACTTTATGTCACTTTTTACACTACCTAGTAAAATCATAGATATATTTTATAGGCCATATCCAATTGTAACTCTGTTATGCAAATACATTTATATTCGTTTTTTTATGTGCCAACATATCCTTGTGGGCATCCTTTTTAAAATATAAAATTTTTAAAATTGGCATTAACGTGTACATAGGATTGTTTATGTACCAAATTTCAAAACCATACGTGTTGTAAACGTAAGTTTGTATTGTTGATTGTTAACACTTACCATCGTGTTACGCAATCACAATCTGAAAATCAAATATAATGCAACAATCACAACAGTAAGGTTCTAAATACTATTTAATACTTATAGTTGATTATTAAGTATACCAAATTTATTAGATTTTATATGGTTCTGAATTTGTTCGTATCTAAAGAATAATTAAAGTACTATTAATACAATTCATGTATGATTATAATAATTCTAGTTCTTAAATTTATTATGTTTGTAGGTACTTTTGTATCAATTAAATTAAGGTATATGCATGGAAAAAATATCTTTATTAATAGATATGATACATGACTTTAGTAGATAATTGAAGTTTTCATTTAAGATTGAAAAACATAAATTTTTCTTTAGATTAGTCTCAAAACTGATTTTAATTTCCAAGAGCGAGAGATAAATTATAGTATACGCATCAACATCTTGATGACGATTATTGCTCGTAACGCATTTAATGTAGAGAGCTATTCAGCAGAAAATTTGTTTAAAATATTTTACATAAATTAAATGTTTTAATTACCTAATAGGTTTAATATTTATCAACAATTATCAATATTAGAAAGTAACTAATTTTCTCAAAATTCACCAATAAAGTCTACTTTAAATTTTGCAAGTATATTCTTAATGCACATTTTTTCAAGTAGATGCTTAAGTCATATAGGTATCTACATTTTATTCTTGAAATTATTACCTTTTTTTCTTGGTACATTATAAGATAATCTATACTAATATTAAAAAATATTTTTTAACTAAGTTAAGTTAGTATACACACTATTAATAGTATAACTCTTGTAATTATATAATTATAATTATAATTTATTGCCATCTAAAAATATAGCTATTACATCGCATAGGCCATAGGTGTTCAAATCGGTTGTACCTATCTACCTAGTACTTTTTTATTTAAAATAAAATAAACAAGTTAAAAAAATAATAATAATATCCAAAAACTGTAAATGTTAAATATATATTTATTTTAGATTTTAATAACAGTAATATCATTTAAAATTTAGGTTTAGCATTATTCTAACTTTGGTAATATTGAGTAAATTATACTATGTTTTCAAATAATATGCTATACCTAATATCTAAACTATTTGGTAAATTTTTATTCAATTTTAATAAAAAAAAAAAAAAAAATGCAATCAAAAGAATAATATTGAAAATTTTTAAACTAAATTGCATAAAAAAATGTTTTTGTAATTTTTTGAAATTTATTAAATTGAAATGTTATTACTAATTTCTGTAAAAAAACACATTTAAATATACCTTCTGATTTTTCACAGAGACACTTCATATGGATGCAGGAATTCTAAAATAATAAATATAGAAATTGTAATATTATTTGAACTCTGGAAGGATTATACTTTCATCACCGTTTGGACTGAACCTAAACATTAAACTTTAACTTTGCAGATTTTCTCTATCTACTATTTAAATCACATAAAAAACATAGGTATATTTTCGTAAAATCAATACATTTATTTCTCAATTTTATTCATAATTTAAAATTACTAAAGTAGATTTAAAAAATTAGTAAGAAAAACTATAGGTACCTACTTAAGCTTTTTACGTAAATATTAAAATAAATTATAAATGCTTCTATGGTTGAAAAATACTTATATTAAGTGTAAAAAATACATACCTATTAATAATTTTACTATAGTTATAGTAAATATTCAATAATAAAATAAGTAATTATAATACTGGAATAAACGACTATTCACAAATCATTCTTACCATAAAACACTTAATATAAATAAGGTAAATTACTGCAATATATCATTTAGGAAATATTAGTTGTTCAATATTTATTACTAATTTTACAACAATTATGAAATATGATATTATAACTTGTAGTCTACGTGTAAAAAGAAGTCACTATAAATAACCCCTCACCAATGACCAATAATATGTTTTTCCAAACTAAACTTTATTAATTAATTTAGTATTTAATTTTATTCTATTAATTATAACAATTAAAAAGTATTAAAAAGTTCTTATGGATAATCAACAGTCTATTTTCCTGACTATGTCTTGCGATGGGCACACATTTATGTAGCTAGTTGTCATGCCTTAAGAGTAATGCATTTTTATAAAATTATTTTTTATCAGTATATTTACAGAAACTAAATATCATTTGGTAAATGTGTTATAAGTCAATAGAACGGTCAATATATGTATAGTTAAATAACACACTAATATATGATTGATAGATCTGTCAATTGTCATAATACTCTGTTTATATTTACTTACAAATTTGATTATTAATGTCCTTGGCAGGTAGACCAATGGGAACTTGATAATTCACTATTTATTACTTATTTTACAGAGTGATTATTTAAACTCGTACCGCTCATTAATTAATTTTATTTTTCATGTTAATTTATTAATAATAGTTACTTGTCACTTATAAATACTAGTATTTATAACCAATAATATTAAGCTACATTTTGATTTTATAGTAACCCACTATTAAGTATTAAGTAAACTTTTTCTATTAGATAACTCATGAAAAAAAGGTTTTAACCTTAGTATTTTTTTAGTATTAATAGCTTCAATAAGTGGATTATTTTTATAAAAAAATTGTTATTTTACTTCAAAAAAGATTTTATTAAAAAATTCGGGTATTATAAACATTTTTTTATGAATCTGATATCCAATAGTTGGCAGCACAATTGCAATCTGTATATCATAATGATTATATTAACAGTCTTTTAAAAATAATTTTTAAATATAGGAATAACAGAAATACAAAACATCTCAATAGTTGATGTCTTTCAAATAGTTAATATTATAATATGCTTATGACTGATCAATCTAAAAACAATTAAGTTTTACTGTATTAGGTTCTAGTATAATTATATAATTACCTATAAAAAATATCAGCTATAAGCTGGTCAAACAATTTAATGTATAATACATTTACTATAAGTTTATGTCAAAACTTTGATATTATCAATCAACAAATATTAATTATGAAATAAAATTATAACTTGTTTAATATTGATATGTTTTATCTTAAAAAATATATTTTGAGTAAAAATATATATACACACAAATATATGATGCATTTTTTATAAATATTAATTTTTAATACTTCAAAAATAGTATTAATATTTGTATATGAAATTGAAAATAAATGAAATTATGAAAAAAAAAAACTTTTAAAGCAGTCTTATAATGATATCAGAATGTGTTGGTTTAAAATTAACTTTTGAACAATATGTTATTATATTCAACAATGACCACGATCTTCAACTCGCTGTCTTGGAGCAGCTTTGATGATGCAATCTACACGAAGAATCATTTCAGCAGCTTCTACAGCAGATACAAGTACTTGCCTTTTAACAACAAAAGATTCAGTGATTCCAATCTCTTGCATGCTTCCCAAACAATTATTTTCCATATCTAAATAAAAAATAAAGATCATAAACAGTGTATCTTATATCTTATAAAATCTACTAAATGTTTACTGACCAAGTCCCATATTATTTTTTCCGAGAGCATGAGCAGCTCTTAATTCATTTATTAACTGTGCTGAATCTAAGCCAGCATTATCAGCTATAGTGATGGGAAGAGATTGTAATGCTCTAGAAAATGCTTCCATAGCTACAGCTTCTTTGCCTGGAGTTTTGGCTGCTTCAGCACTTACAGCATTTGCCATCAACATTTCACTACAACCTCCGCCGTAGACAATAGTTGGCTCTCGTACAGTAGATGATAAAACACATAAAGCATCATGTAAAGAACGATCAGCTTCATCAATTATCTGTTCAGTAGCTCCACGAATAACAATAGTACAAGCTTCACCAAGAGCCACACCAGAAAAACGTAACAATGTGCTTTCACCAATCATTATTTCTTCAATAAGTTCACAAGTACCCAACTTAGCTTTCACAGGAGAATCAAAAGTTGACAGAATTTCACCACCAGTAACTAATGCTAGACGCTCAATGCCATCAAAATCAGCATGTTCAATAGCCATAATACCGGCATCAGCAAAAAGTTGTTCTGGATAATTGTAGATCAATTGCCTGTAAAGATAAAATATTATAAAAATAATTTTAGCCATAACATTTTATAAAACTATATTAACCATGTAAAGTTATTAGATAATAATACATTCAATTAACTTTATTTTCTTTTTTTTTTTTATTATTATCTTAAGTTTGGAAACTAAGCCTATTAGCAAAGAGAAGATATGGTAGGTATTTTGAAATTTTTCGTAAGGTTTTTAGGGTTATAGAACATGTGTTTGATTGTGTCTGATAGATTTGTCGCTAAGAAATTGGGGGGGGGGGGGTCACTGATCCGAAAGCTAACGAAGCCAGCAAATAACACGTTAGTAACTGATTTTAACTACCACATCATACCAGGCCACTTAAATAAACTTATACAATGGTAGAGAATAATAAGTTATTTATCTAATAAAAAAATTAAGTACCAACTAGTAATGCATAATATTAAAAACATCAGAATTCAAAAATTTTTGTTTTTATTCTTTTTATTTCTGATTATTTAATTAGTATTTTAACAATGATAGACGGAATAACATGAAAATAGCTAATGTAAATAAATAAAAGGTGAAGGAAGAGTTCTCTTGTCCTTTATGGCGAGATAAAAGAATGCAGGACAAGGATGCCAACCCCACAGAATTGAGAAAAATGGGCGAAAAAAGAAGAGATTTTACTATAACAATAAATTAATTCAAATAGGTCTTGAATATAAATTACTTTGAAGATTATCATATTACCTATTTATGAACACATTACATTCGTACGCAAGTATTTTGCTAACTTTGTCTTTCATTTTTTCTTTTTCTGCTAATTCAAGTTCTGCAACCTTTGCCATGGAATCTACTTTGATACGAGACCCAAAAACTTTTATTTTATCAGTATCCATAGGTGTATTTGCTATTAATATACGAGCATTTTCTAAATGTTTTGGTTGATATTGGCCAATCTTTTTGTCAAGAAGAAAACCTATTTTAAAAACAAATAATATGCAATTATTAATTTATTTATTAACACATGTATTTTTTTAGAGTTTATTTAAAACAGGGTTTACCTTCATCTAAGAATGAATCTTCCAAACAACCACCCTTTAGCTTTATAATTTGTATAGCTGACAAGTTTCCTGATCCTTTTAGACGCAAGATGGCATCTACTGATAGTTTGGCAAAATGTTCTTTATGTTGAGATAAGATCTTAGAACTTAATGTTGTGCGAGCAATATTTAATAAATCTTCCCGAAATTCAGTTTCATTTTCGCTATGATTTAATGAAGCTGCCAATAAAGCTTCATGTGCTATCTGTGTTGCCTTTCTCCATCCAGCAATAATAATCTGTGGATGAATTTTTTGATCAACTAATTTTTCAGCTTCACGTAATAATTCTGCAGCTATATAATAATAAAAAAAATATATATTTTTTTTACATTTCTACACAAACTCATCATTGTTATATTAATTCTATATACCAATAAATAAAAATTAATAATAAAGTTATATTATAAAATTGAATTGAATAGGTAATTAATTATTGTACTAAGTAGGGTTGTATAATATAGACCAGTGTTTACCAACCTTTTTATTAAGACAACTCAAAAATGTACTCTTTATCCTAAAAAACTAAGCATATTGTTTAAATTTTATTATATAGTAATAGAAATAATATTTTTAATTTAAATTTTTATGTAATTTTATAATTTAATTTAAATTTAATAAAATAATTCTGTTAGATAATTACAAAATTTTTTCCAATTTATTAATTTACATTCAGTAGCCTATAACGAATATTTTTTTGTTATGCAATTTTAGATAGTCATTAATTTAGAGTATAAGACATTGAAGGTTTTAGTGTATATCACTTATACAAGTGATATGATGTGATAATTGTGTTCCATAAGTGGTAAATTGTATGCAATCAAAATATAACAAATTAATTTAATTATTATTTGTGTTGAAAGGATATATTTTGTCATTTACCAACATAAGTAACTTAAATTGTATTAATAATTAACAAACATAATTATTATGTTAATACATAAAATAATAGATATTTGAGTTATAAATGATTATGTATTTATTAAATACGAGTACTAACTAGCCAGTTATAAGGATAAAAGTTAAAATACACTTTCTAAAGGTATTTTTACAACTCAATAATTTTTATTAATTTTAGTTGCACAATACTTGATATAACTGAATACAAATTTACCTAAAACAGTGACAGACGTAGTGCCATCACCAACTTCACCATCTTGAACCATAGACATATCAACTAATATTTTAGCAGCTGGGTTATCCACTTCAATATTTTTTAAAATTGTTGCACCATCATTAGTAACTTCAATTTTGGAATTCATACCGCCACGACCAACAGAAATGAGTATCTTATCCATACCTTTTGGACCTAGTGTGCTTTTGACTAAATCACCAATGGCAATAGCACCGATGAAACTAGATAAACGTGCATTTTCCCCTCGATCTTCTTCAGCTTGATGTTTCAAAATACGTACGGGATTCAATGAAACCTATATGTAAATAGTGAAGTCATAATAAGAATATCCCTATTCATTTGCAAACATCATAAACACTGAGATAATTTTTTTATCTTTTGCCGTATTCGGGCAGTTAATTCTTAAACATTACTGTTTCATTTGGCTTACCATTTCTGAGATTAATTTGTAACGTTATGTTTATCAAAAACGAAAACAAAATAAATGTAAATTTGTAGGTGAAAACTGAAAATCTCAACAAAATTGAATAATCTATTGAACAACGAAGCTATAGAGTAGAAACAGTATGGAGTATGGACAACAACATCATTCATCAACAACACAATCGTCCACTGTTTAGTGTTTACAGTTTAGTCCAGTGAACACAACAAAATACACTCGTTTAAATCAACGAACAAAAAGAAAAACAAAAAAAAACAGTAGAAATCGTAAATTTCAAATTCGGCAAATCAGTGTACCCATGTGGTTGTCATGGTATTATATACGAGCTTATCATTTATATTGATAAAACATACAATTCATGTGTTATCATAAAACATACGATTCGTGTGTTATCATTTTATTTGGTAATAATCAATAGGCTTACTGTCGTTGCATTAATCAATACTGAATTTAGTGTTAGAACTTGTGAGTTGTGACTTACCGTAAACGAAAATATTAGAGAACGATACTAATAGTTACGTTTTTTCCGAATTAGTTGGAGTACTATCTTAAAGCAAGCTTTTATTTTTTGTGGATACTTATCTAATCTAAAAGACTAAACGATTATTTATTATGGAAATCAAAAACATTATCGATTCGATGTCCAAAATTGCCATAACAGATTGTTCTGGTGAGCTTCTACTGTTAAATATTCTTAACTGATTTATGGCTTATTTTAAAATAATATTACAAAACCAAAGTGAAATGCAGTATTGACTGAAGTTGTTGATTCAATTAATTATACTTAAGTACTTCAAAATAAATCAATATTTTTGAATCTACTTCATTGCAGGAACATTTTTTAAATGGGTTCATAGTGTTGTTCGAAACAAATGTAATATGATTATGAGTCAGTTTATTAAAAATTTCTAACTTGAAATTGTGGATGTAACAATAAACAAATAATTATAATTATTTTTAGTTAAAATATAAAAATGATTTATAATTATATTAAAAATGTATATAACAGTATACATTTTTAAATAAACATAGATTTTAATTGTTTATAAAATGTTACTTTATTTCAATTGTATATATAAGATAAAAACATAGTTTTACAAGTATTCCCTCTTAAGTCATATTAGTTTATCATATTATAATTTATATAATTATTAATTTAATTTAAATATGTAGTATGTAAATATACATAGTTGCAATAAAGAATGTAATTTATGAAATGCCATCATGTATTATCAAATGAATAAAATAAATAAACAAACATGAATCTTATTCTATTATTTTATTTATACTCTGTAAACATTTTAGATGATGATACATTTTATGACATAACTTCTGAAAAGATTTTGGGTATTAATCTATCTGGCCATGAATACAAAAATCAAAGTCTCAGGTACCTAATGTATTTATTATTATTGTAATTGATTTTTATCTAATGATGTGGCATTAGTATTTTCAGATTTCTTAAAGTAAAGAAGACAATTGAACAATTGTCTTGCTTAAAAGAATGTCTATTAAAGCAATCTGATGATTCTACTGATATCATTTTAAGTGCCGTTCATTGTGCTGCAGTATCAAAGTGCTTAAATTATGTTGTCACTTATGGATTTATTCCATGTTTTATACCGAAATTATGGAAATCATTTGAGAGAAACGAAAAACACGTCCGAATCTCCGAAAATGTTTCATCTGATACAGTAATGATAATTATTTCTTATAATTTATTGTCTATTGATATGTATTTGAATTACAGTTAAAAATTGAATAGTCCATAATTAATACTATGTAAATTATCAATAGAATTAGTAATAAACCCTCTTTCGTTTTATTAAAAATCATTATGGATATTTGCTTCAGTTTTAAAACCATGATTAAGATAATTAAAAATATTATACTTCTTTTGTCCCTATGTCAATAATATTTTCAGATACTTATTTCCTGCCACCAGTATATCATCAGTTATATTTTTATATTGTTTTATGATTACACAAAAAAAAAAAAAAAAGTAAATAATTTAAGGATCCTATGTATTAAAATTAAAATAGATATATAATAAAAGATGATTATGATCATTTAAATTTAGCTTCTATAGTAACCGTCATATGTCACTTTTTTAAATCGAACTTCATGTACATCATGTACTCTTTTTCACAGTGTTATTCATTTTATAATATTTTCAGTACACAATTATTAGCATAATTTATGTATGTCTATTTTAATACCATACAAAATTTTATATTAATATAAAAAAAACTTGTATTTATTTAAATATTACAAGTCTTAAATTTTAATATTTTAATAATAATAAGTATTTAAGTGATAAAAAAAAAAATACTTAAGTATTTGAAAAAAAAGAAGTTAGGATGACATTTGTTTTAATTTTTATTCATTTAAGCAAAATATGAGTGATGATAATAGCTGTTACATTTTTCAATGTTACCTACAAAATAAACACATAGTTTTATTTTACAAACACTTTTTTATAAATAATACAAGATTCCTTAACAAAATTTTGATTGTTTAACAAATGTAGTTATTGATTATTGATTTATTCAATAATAAGTATTTAAACCAGAATATTTGAAAAATGTAGATTTATTGGTTTTGATATAATAATAAATCAAATGTAAAATAGCTGTGTATAGCCCATTTCAGTTCTGTTAATTTTAATAATTCAACTCTGGAAATATGTATCATTATCTGAAATATGTATTACACTTAAACTAATCAAATGAAAAACGTTAATTTTTAGTAAAACTGTTCAAATTTTTTCAAGAAGTTAAGGGTTACCAAGTACCTAATATAAAAATTAATGTCAATCTAAATGATTATATTGTTGTTTTAAAGGTTAACCATGAAATGTAATGATTATCATACCTACCTAATTTAATATGACTTCATACCCACCTGATGTGTTGTCTTTATTTTATTAATGCATAACATACTAAAATTAAGCAGTTCTAATTTTTGGTTTTTATATTAAATATTGAAATTAACTGATCTATTACCAAATTTAATGGTGTGAAAATTATATAAGCTTTATACTAATAGACGGAACAATGTATCAGTCACATCGGTAAAAACAGATAGTATCCTATAAAGTACCAACGCATTATGCGTATACAATATATATACTAAAGCTATAGAAATATGTGATATATACTATTTGCATTATATTAATATTTGTATTATTATTAATTTACAGTTATTCAAACATATCCATAGTATTGTTAATTTATTTATTTTATGTGTGTAATTATTAGTCAACTAATAAAGTTTAAGGTATCATTATTTCCTATAAGTTTTAATAATGGACAAAATAGTATGAGTATGGCAAAAATTAAATATAAGTTTTTACATGCATGTTATGCTCATATTAATATTACCATATTCTATTTAAGACTTGGCTACTTGAGCTAATTATTAAATTAAGTATAATATTTTATTTCTTACAATAGATATTAGAAAACAAAAACTCAACTTTAAATATGCACTACACAAAGAAGTTATTAGTAATAACTTTTTACTTATCTTAAATTAGTTATAAATAAAGACTGGATTTATATGCATTTAAAATTTTAAAATATGTGTGTAAACATGCACTAAAAAAAGTCAAAATATGCAAGAAAAAAATGCATCACATGCAAAATAAGATTTTAATTTTTACTAAATTTTTAATTTGATTTTAATTTTGCAGTGATAATTATTTATTATTTTTATTTAAATTTTCATTAATAAAAAGTATGAGATATATAATATAGCAAACATACAATAATAAAATGTAATTAGTTAAATTATAATTTAATTTTTAATCATTAGGTAATACATGTAAAAAATATTTTATTAAAATTAAACAGTAGATACATTGGTGATATAAATAGGAAAAAAGTATCTGCAGTTTAATGTAGTATGTTAATTGGATAAACAATAAGTTACCAAAGGTTATTATTTAAGACGTAAAATATTTTATATTATATAAACATACTTATAATTTGTTTTTTTTTTTTTGCTCAACACCTTTTTGGATCATTAGGTGCATATTTGTACGGTTTTTTTGTTGAAATATGCAAAAATATGCAGAATATGCAGTTTAAAATTTTGATACAAAATCAATCAATGATTTGTGGACATTTATAGACTGCATGTATATGATATTGAAAATAGCAATATGCATTTCATGCAAAATCCGGTCTTTATTTATAAGTAATAACTTTTATGGCCCCCAAATAAAGGTATACACTAAAACAGTACTCAGCTTATACATAACACAATAACTACTATATGAAAATTAAAAAAAAACATCTTTCAAAGAATAGACATTACTGTAACTCTACTTGATGGACTACTTCATCATATAGGGAAAGATGTTCCAAGTATAAGGTTTATGAAATATCTGTTCTTTTGTGTGTATTTTTTAACATATTTTAATTTTTAAACAAATTATTAGCATTTTTAGAAACCTATTTTACATACTTATATTATAGTTTTTAACTTAGCTATTAAGTATAATTTTAATATTTTAGCTAATAACACTAAATTGAAAATGTATATTTGTTACATTTGTAAGGATACAACACTTGTAAGTGTAATATACTTTTAAATATTCAATAATATTATGTATAACTTAATTGGACAAAATAATACAACTTATTTCTTGTTTGATATAAGTGACATGTTTGTGTTTACTTTTACTTAGAAAAATTTATTTAGCATAAATTAAAAAGATTTTATTTTTCATTTTATTAGGTACTCATGATTAAACTTATAACTAACATAAATTATTAGTTTAAAATTTTCAAAACCATTTATTCATTGTTTGTTTCAGGCATATAAAGAACTAAAGTTTTATGTGAATTCATTATTTGATCTGATAGAAGAGCCTACATTAAAAAGACTCATATTAGTGAAACATACAAATGTTTTACTTGCAGGATTATGTCAATTATCTTTGCTACCTATTGCAAAACCTGGTACAGAAATTGCAGCTGGAAGTTCTATAGATGAATTAAAATATGAGCAATTGATAAATGAACAGAATAAATTTAAAAACATTCTCAAAGATCTCATTTTAATAAAAAGAGATCTTATATTTATTCGAGAAATAATTTTTGTTCTTGGTTATAAGGTAGGTACTTATTATTAAAAGAATAAAAAAAGTATATTAAAGATCAAAATTTTATTATTTAACTTAATGTTAGACATTTTTATATGAAATGATTTTTGAACTATAATAAGAAAGCATTTATAGTAAAAATGAAAATTATGGATAGAAATAATTAGGGTAGGGATTTTAATACAATTTTACTATCTAAATTCTAAACACATAAAAAAAGAAAAATGTTATATTATACTTAAACCAATAAAAATAGTATTTACTAAGTAGTTGATATAATAATAAATCATTAAATCATTAAAATTATTTGCTATCAAAATATTATCATTTTGCATCACTACTTTTTAATAGTACATAATATTATATAAAATATTCTTATTTATTATTAAATTAACTTTTTTCCAAATCTTAATCTCTAAAAATACTTTTTATATGTATTGTATTTTTCTTAAGTTTTATTTGTTATGAAGTGAGTATACTATGCCCCTGCATTCAACTTTGAAGCCCATTTTTATTTATTTATAATTCAACGAGACTATTAATTTGCAAAAAAAGAATGTAATATGGATAGAAATATGTAGGACTATACCTTTTTTGCAAGTTTTGCATAATTTTAATATAAAAATGTGATACCAGATAAAAATAAAGAATTTGAAAGCCAAATATTGAAATAAAAGATTATTATTGTAATATTTTGATTACAAGGAAAAAATAAAAAATAATTATTATTATTAATATAAAAAAAAAAACATATTATTGATCAGATTTACACGTATTTTGTCAAATTTTCCAGGTTGTGCATGTGCATAATTAGAAAAACTTGTAAAAATGCCTATATGTGTACATGCTAACTTAAAATATAATAACACAAGGTATATTAAATAACACATAGAGTAATAATAATAATACTCATGTTTAAATAATTATTAAGTTACTTATAATATTATATTTAAAATGATGCTAGTTTAAAATGGCCTTTCTATCTTATAATAATTTTTTATTAATATGCTTGACTTAAGTCAGAAGTTTCACAAGATTTATCAAAAATATTAAAATGGTGGAGACTATACAAGCAAATTTTATTTCTCTAATTAAAAGGAATCAATACTAATTTTAGGCTTAAAATATGCAATTATAAATACATTACAATTTTGAGAATAATATGATGGAATTTAAAGGTTAATTTGAGCTTAAAGCTCAGAATATATTATAATATTATAATTTAATAAATTATATACAACAATTTAAAACATTTAAACTGAATATTATCAAGATAATTTATGTTAGTGGATCAAATTACTGATCCAAGTTATGAACATATTATACAAGGGAACAATATAGTGTTTTTATAATAGATTTTTAAATTTTTAGTGTTTCTACTTATAAAATTTAACTTTTTTGTAAGATTTACTAATGATGGTTACATAATTTATTTTTGAAAAATGATAAGAAATTAAATAAACACTAAGGTTATTTACTGAAAAAACTACTTAAGAGCATGTTTTATTTGCATGTGCTGTCTTTGTCTTACTTACATACATTATATCAATTTTGTTTTCAGCAAAAACCCTTTTATGTTCTTATTTTAATGTTAGAGTCAATTAACCTATTATTAAACTTAAAAGTAAGAATTGTATCTAGAGGTATCACATATTCTTTTAATTTTTATTGATGTTTTCATTTTAAAGTTTTAATACTTTACTTGGCTATTTATAATGTTTAAAATGATAATATCAATTAAAATCTATGTGATGTCTTTAATAATATTTAAATTTTTAAGCACGTTTTAAACTTTAAAATCAAAATATCGTAAAAGTCCAACAAAAGATAACAAATAATTTTTTTTTACCTTTAAGTTTGATAATAGGTAAATTTACTCTAATATTTAAGTTAACAGCATAAAATGAATTCTATTGTACAAAAATTGTCTATATTATATGTTAGTAAGATGAAGACAACACATATGAATATGACATTCTTTTTAAGAGATATTATTCAGTGAATAGTAAAAAGTAAAAGGATTTTCGCGTTAAGGATAATAAATAATTTAACATTTATTTGTATTTAAACATAGTAAATTGCTTTTCTCCAGCTGAAAAAATAATCAAAATTATTCTGTGAGTTCATTAAATTAGAAATTGAGTTAATTTGAACATACAATTTATGAATTAGAAAAAAAAGTATTTTTACGTTATTATTAACAATTTGAGGTACATCTTAAAATGCTTAAAATCCATTTGATCTTTGAAAAGATTATTTTATAATTTATGTTCAATTAAGTTAATATGATCCAATCTAATTACAAAATGTTCCGTAAATCCCCCCAAAAAATAAATGTATGTAAAAGAAGTGAATTGTTAATTTTGACTTTTTGAAAATGAGTATAGACCTACAGGACATTTTCAAAATTTTGTAGAAGATTAGACTGATATTTTAAGAGGTATGTTATTATTGAGCTCACTCTGGAGCTGAGAATGTTTGATAACATTTGAAGATAATCTTGTTAAAGTTTTAGTGTTAATTGCTTCAAATAATTTTGGTACAATTTAGATATTGGTCTTTAATTACAAAAATTCTTATATTTCTTGTTTTAAAAATAATAGTACATTGTTTTTTCTATAACTGAAAAAATACCACGAGAAATAGAAAAATTCAATTAACGATTTAATGGCTTAACAAGATTTCAAAAAGAAAGGTTATATGCTATCTAGCCCTAAGTCCAATTGCTCATTTAATGATTTAAACATTTAAAAGCTATCAACTTCTGAAATAGAAGCGGATCCAGAAATTTTCCATGGGGGGGGGGGGGGGGGCATAGAGATGAGAAAAAAAAAGGTCATCAAATGAAAAAAGCTTAACCCAATAATAACTTTTATTTAATTTGTGAGGGAACCTTCCCCCTCTAGATCCGCCATTGTTCTGAAATATTGTATGAAATTATATTTTAATCACAATTATTTGACATTTCTAAGTTAAAGAAGTAAACTTGTATATTGATAATCTAAAAAGAGGAGAAGTATATGACAAATAATTATTATTTATTAGGAATCCACAATAGAATTAATTAATTTATCATTATTGACGAAAAATAGAAGAGAAAACATTTGTAATATTTGACCTTAGTTTTTTAATGTAATTCTTAGAGGACTTTGTATTATGTCTTACATTATTTAAATGAGTGTTGCAAGTAAAAATAATTATTATTTTCAGTATTGCCAAAAACATATAAAGGCTGGTCTTTCAAAATTATGTTCAGATTTATTGATAGAGTCTCATGGAATTCAAACGTTTTTGAGAGTGGCATGTGATTTAATTTCTGAAACTTCACACGACTTTAATCATCATGGTTTGCTACAATGGTCAGATTTAATCCATAGTCAGTACTTAAAATCAAAAACCAAGTATTGCGATTATATTGTACCTCAGGTAAATAATAGTTGAAAATAAATCATATATCATACTTTTGTGAAGTATTAAGTATCACAGAGATATTTAAATGTTTTTTATTTAATACAATTTAAAATTACCTATTTTTTAAAAAACAGAATTTTTATTTAACTTTTAATTATAATTAATTGCTTTATTTCTTTAATATCTTATTCTTATACATTATATTAAAATATTTTAGATATGGGAGTTATTAAGATCCAATACAAGTTTCAATCAACGTCAAGTTCATAGCGTTGCTATTTTTTGCATTCATTTAATGTCGGAAACAAATTACTATGATTTTCTAGCCTTTTATATATACCCAGTTGAAGAGGAGTTAATGAAAATAAGTAAAATTAAAAATGTGTCAAGATGTATTGAAGATTTCCATTCTCTTTTTTATTTATTCAAGGATGAATTTTGGTCTTTAAATCCAATGTTAATGACACGTGTTGCTCCTATTATATATAATCTGTATACAGCTACTGCTAATGGTGTATACTATTTGAAATCTAAACTAGAAGATTTAGTTTTCTTAATATTAAATTATTCTTCTAAAAGTAAAGATCATTTAAAACTGGTAATATTTTCTCACTACCAAATTTCTGTAAAATATGATGACGATGGTGGAAATATACAAATAAAATGTGTTGAAAAAAAACACAAGTTATATTTAGAAAGTCAAGTTGATTTGATTTTAAATTTAATTGACAAGCGTGCAAACTCAGAATTGATGAAAAATATGTTTTTGATTTTAATTGATATGTATACAGACGTATCATCAATGGAATATTCTGTTATGGAAAAACTATTCATTGTTAAAGCTATTCATCATTTAATTGAAAAAGATGATGTACAAAAATTAATATCTTCTGATCCAGAAATAGTTTTAGAATTCATTAAGTCAATATTAAAAGCTGTAAGTGAAAACAATGTAATTGATGACCAAGTTCTTTCAATTGCATTGATGTTACTTGGATGTGTAATAGAAAATGCCAATACAAACTGTAAATTTGGCCGTATCACGGATTACCTTACAACAATTTCTAGGAATGTACAGAATGCCATTTTTAAAGATCTAATTCTAGAAATTCTAGAGAAAATTAAACAAGTTCACAATAATTGTAAAAGTAAGCAATTGGGTTTTCTACGTACAATTGATGATGTGTTATTTGATGCTAGGGACGAAGTATTACCCTACAGAGCTCATGCATTAATTGAATTAAAAGGAATGATTGAATCTGGAGATAAAATGATTCCTGCAAAGAAAACGGCAATATTAATCACGATTCAGGTATAATATTTATTTGTAAAATTGTAATATTAGTATCAAGTTTATTTAATCTAAAATGTAATATTCTATTTAGGAAAATTTGAAAAATATTGATTCATATTTGTATTTAAGTGCCATATTTGCTTTGTCTTCTTTGTGTTCGTATTTTCCAAATGACATTCTTCCTATACTTTGTGAAGAGTACAGTATGCCATTAAATTACCACCATTCACCAGAAACTAGATTAAAAATTGGCGAAGCCTTAATGAAAACTATAAAATTATTAAGTATGTAAAAACATTTAGGTGTAAATAATTGTGCATAACAATTAAAAGTTAAAATTTTAACGGTTTAACACTCTAGATGAGACCATTCCTGTGTATAAAAACCGATTACTGAACGCTTTTATGGCTGGAGTCAGAGACAATGACCATTTAGTGAGAGCGTCAAGTCTTTCGAATTTGGCTGAAGTATGTCGACTCTTGCGTTACAATCTCGGATCAATTGTTGTAGAAATTATTAACTGTGTGGATTATGTACTGCGATATGATCCAGAAACTGAACCTCGTAGAGCAGCTGTTTTATTATTACAAATGATTATTCAAGGAGGAGATTCAGAACTACTCGAAGTAAGTTCACAATAAATCATTGCTGTTATTGTTAGGAAAGTAAATATATTAATAAAATTTATATTATTATTATATTGTTAATGATTTACATAACATTTAAACCAGAGTTTAATTATTTTTTGTTTATCACTCATGTTTATATTAGGTTTAGATTTATCGTGTTTGCGTACCACTAATGACTGAAAATAAATATGTTTAAAAATTCAAAATGATAAAATAGTAAGACATTACAAAACTACAAAAATTAGTGACAAAATATGTTTGTAATTGTTCTTAATGCTGTGCAAAGTGTATGTCGACAATTATAAATTTATAAATTGTGTATGATTTGGGATTACTGTTATTAATGTTTAATAATAATTTTTTTAGTAATTAATACAAAATATAAAATAATATTATATTTGCTTCTGAGTGGATAAAAAAAAACATTTATTTTCCGTACTAATGTGTGACCACCTGGTACCCATGTAACTTTTAGAAAAAATACAGTTTAGGAATCTCTGGTTTAAATATTATGTTTCTTCTTTTGTCTCCTTTTAAATATAAATATTTTGCTTTTCTATTCAATTTTGATACTTAGACCTAACTTTAATTTTCAAGTATTAACTTACATGTTTAATAAGTATTAATCTAATTCAATATTTACAGATTTTGAAAGGCCATATAAGAGATATTTATCATATGCTTAAGTTCCGATATCACTGCGACAAAGATGAAATTACCAAACTACACGCTCAGGTGGCATTGGAGAGATTGAATGATATAATGAAATCGTTATTTTTGGAACCAAAACAAATAATATAATTCATTTTTACATTTAATAATATATAATCTTAGATTTAAATTTATTTATATTTAATACTTATATATAGTTTTAAGATTAACACTGCATTATTTGGCTTAAGAAATTTTTTTATTTGCAATTCACAACTATAAAAGTTTTATACATATAGTTATTTATCATGTATAATTATTGTTTGGTATTATTTGAAATTTAAAAAAAATTTACCATTGGTTCATTTTTGGTTACAACTAATGATCGCTATTTTTACTAGTAAAGCTAAGAAATTAGTATAATTAATAAAATTTACTCTCATACATGTAATATACTTGATTTAAATATGAATTTTAAAAGAAGTATGTAACATCACCTATTGTTTTCTGGATATCAGATATTACTGATAAATTATTAATAAACATAAGGAACAATTCCACATATATATTTTGATGTTAGTAATATTATTTTATCAATAGCCAATTACTACTGTCTACATATAACACTTACAATTGTAATATGAAACTCGTCTAAACAAAATTCAGCTTAACTAGTAAGTACTTTAGGTGAGGTAAAATGTCTATTATATATTATATATATTTAAAAATACAATTTTAGATAAAAATTTAAATAACAGATATTTTGTGGGGTACTATGGTAGAATTCTTTCACAATAATTGTATTTCATTAGAAAATTATATTAATTGACACTTCATTAAAGTATCGAGGATCGCCAGGTTATGCAGACAACAATAAAGTGATTTTATGCACTAAAAAGTATCACAACATTCCACATAATATCGTGCATTAAAAATGGTAAAATATCCATTAAATATGAAAAAGTTTTTCAAAAAATATACATAATTTAATCGTTTATTTAATAATTATTAATTAGAAAAAATTTACTATCTCTTAACGCTATAAAAACATATATTTTTGTGATGCTGCTCAACAAAACTATGTATAACAAAATTTACTTTTTATTAAAAACGATATAGGTAATTGTCAATTAATATAAGTTTACATAAAAAATATGGGTTCATAGTTGACAACATTTATTATTAAAAGTTTCTACTCTAAATATTTTACAGCTAAATTAGGTTTTTTAAATAGTATTTTGTACAATATTTTATTATTAATTAAATAATGACATTTTATAATAATTAATTCAAAGAAATTGAATAGACTTTTACACAATAAATTGTAGCTTATTATGCCCATGCCTACTGTTACATCAGGTATAAAATATTTTAATTAATTTAATAGCTTAAGAGCCTGCATTATTTTCTAAGTACCTTTTCTCTTGGTTAGAAAATCATCATAATTTTTTTATTAAAAATTTACATATCACTTCTTTGAAACCATTGTTAAATTATAAAAAAAAAGAATAAAATAATGTGATACTATGACATAAATAAAATAAAATTGATTTTATGTTTTCAAGAAAATTATCAGTATTAAATTACTTTTTCATTACATAACAGCTATTTTTTTGTAGATACTACTTTAATCATACATTTTTATTTTTTCACATAAATTATACAAATCTGTAAGTAATAGATTTTGTTTTTTTTTTGAACTTTTGTACAAATTACATTTTAAAAATACCTGGGGGATATCAAAATTAACCAACAGATCAATGATATAATATAAATGTTAATTCAATTTAAAATTATATAATTAAAGATACTAAATAAAAATTTTAAATCATGAAAATATGTGCCAATCAAATAAATGTAGATAATCTTTACCCATTATTTTCTTAAAGAACAATTAAAAAATATAATATATTTAGTTAAAATCAATTATTAATATTTAATAATTTACCTTAACAGTTATCTACTTAGTACCTATAAAACAATATTCTATTATGTAATATTTAGGTATTATTATGTTAATCTATTTCTAATTTATATGAATTACATAATTTTTTTTAAATGTTTTCAATACTATAAAAAATTAATAGGAATTAAATAGAAATAGTAAAATATTAAAATACCATTTGGTTAACAACATAAAATATATATTTTTTTTTTTAGTATACTAATTTGCCAAAAAATAAGAATTAAAATATAAAAGCCTCTACATAATTGTAAGTGTTTTCACTTATCGTAATTACACTGTATTATTAAAACAATGATTTTTTTTATTATTATTACCATTTACAAAAATACGCAAAGCGTTATCTGAAATTAGAAACATTAAACATGACAGCATTGTCGGAAATAGTGTTTATTATTTTTTTATAATTTTATATTTTATACTTATAATTTTTCTGGTAAATTAGATGCCCCGCGCACATGTTTAGTTTCAAGTTGCATTAGCATTTAGCACTAATCCAATTACATACCTATAGTATCATACACATTAAAAAATGTTTAACACAGACATAATATTGCATACAGAATTGCCATTTTTTTTCTATTTTCATGAAGGCTAACACAAAAAAATAAAAAATTTCGGTGGGCCGTCGCATATATTGTATAGGTATAATATTATAATACAACAAAATATAATTACAGATCATTGATTTCCGACTCAAAAACTATTTCAGAATTTAATTAAAAATATTTGTTTATTTCTAACCACTAATTGTGTAGGTATATTACTTTTAACTTTTAAGTACACTTATAATTTCCATGGCTGTTGGAAAAAAGGTTTCTCATTCCGAAAGCTTTAAGAGCATATGCCGAACGTAAAATCAAGTAGGTAAACAATAGGTAGATATAATATAGATAGGTATATGAAAAAGACGATCGATCTGTAACAAATGGGGCTTTCGAATTTCAAAAAACTTTTCTACTATTATATAAGTAAAAAAAGCAAATGCAACTATTTTGAAAATACTGCAATCGCTTTTTCTACTCTTTTTTTTTTTAAATAATAGATATAACAACGTTTTTACCATAAATATAAGATAGGTATTTTATTGTATGATGGTATAATTTCTATGGATGAAAGATCAAAATAAATATCTATTAGTCGAATGAAATTATTAATATTTTACTCATAAAGTCTCACGGGTTTTACTATTCAGTAATCTACTATCTAGTTTGATATACCTACTTATGCGATAAAAATCGATTAGTCAACCGTACATCTTAATTGTGTATTGCTAACTGATCACCTATATGATATTATCACAATATTACCTATTATATATTTGAAAATGGAAATACATAGTTGTACAATATTTGAAAATTGGATGTTACGAGAGTAAATTTGGAGATGCACGAATTTTAAGATAAAAGTTAGAAAACAACTAGCACTTTTGGGTATACATCTTTTTTTTAGTTCTGTTGCTAAATGATATTGATTTGCAAATTATGTTTAAACGGTTTTTGCGCAAATTATTATGTATAACCCAAAAATCGAACAATACGTCGATACGCAACTGTCTTACAAAAAAAGGTCAAAATTAACAATAGCGATACGCAAACGACAACCGGCGATTAAACATAGAGATAGATTTGAAGTACCTACTTTAAGTAGACAAGCTATAGTTTAAAATTGATTTGTATTTAATTCACATTGAACTAGACGTTTATCGTTTTTAATAATTATAATAATATCAACAAACTAAAAACATTTTTAATTGATGTTATTCTACAACCGTTATGAATATTACCTAAGCTTAAACATATGAAAATCGTGAAAATAATAATAGTCATTATTTGTAAAAAGCCAAATAAACTAAAATAGGTAGGTATCAATCGCTCATTCGGTTAATCATGTAAATGAGCGTATGATAGGAGCATTGCGTGGTGAGAGTACATCTCGTTGTGGTGGCCGATCGACAAGTAGTCGTGACCGTCGGCCGACAAGTCGTGAACGTCGGTCGACAAGTTATGGTCGACGGACAACAAGTCGTAACGGTCGGCCGACAAGTCGTGATGAACTGGCGCGGGCAAGTCGTGGTGAACTGGCGCGGGCAAGTCGTGGTGAACGGGCGGCATGTCGTACTGGTCGGCCGACAGGTGACCTTTAGCGAGGCCGGGATTTCGTCGTCCAACCACATGTCCATTTCGGAATAGTCGTCGTCTGTGGTGCGCGGCGGCGGCAAGGACGGCGTTATTTGGTTTCCCTGCAACGTCCACGAAGTCGGGGCCTGCAGCGTAATGTGAAAAACGAACACTGGCGGCGGGGGCGTTCGACCGGCCGCGGTGCACGACGGCCGCGGGCTGTTGTTTTCCTGCCCCGTCCACCGAACCGGGATCACCGGCACGCGGTAAGGCCGCGCCGGCGGAACGTCGCTGGCGACCACCACAGATCGCCGCGTCGTCCACGGAGCCATCGCCATCCGCCGACTGACGTGTTGATTTCGCGCGGTGTGATGATCGTTGCGGACCGACGAGGTTCTGCGGCGGGACAGCAGCGGGACGGCGTCCGACGACCGCGACGCCGCGAAGACCACGGCCCACACGAACAACGATCGCAGCAGACACATACGGCGGTGGCGAGCAACGGACGAATGCGAGAGCGGCAGAACGCTGCAGTGTCGTACGATTGCGACGATTGCGTGCGTCAACAAGGTTCGCGAATCGAACCCGAAAACTTGCAGTGTTTGCGACCGATATTTTCTCATTAAATCACTCAGTGGCGAACGTTTGTCCGCGTAGGTATCTATATATGAGACTTGAACGTTGTTTAAAACGCGCAGTGTGATCGACAGGTGTTGAGAAAACCGTTTGGCCAGCGCGTAGAAAATAAAATATTTACCGATGACGACGGATCGGAATAAGAACAAGATGATGAGATTCTATGTATGTACCTACGTGCTTTGGACGTCGGCTGACTTTCACTGCTCCTCGTTGATGTGTACCTACGTGATGGTAGGTATAGAGGGACGTGCGAACAACAATAACTCCTTACAGAGTATAAGTTATACGACTTTATATATTCGCCGTAAATATACATAGAATGTTTCAAACTTTCAGCGTTTATGTGTAAAAATTGAAATTAAAAACAAAATATCAATATTCGTTTTTGACGTCAAGCTTATATAGGTATTTTTGTCGTGGGTCTGTAACCACTTATCCAATTGTCCAGTGGTTTTTAATTTTTATAGCCTATAGATATCTACGTTACAGGACAAGATTTAATCAAGTATAACAGTGTAATAATACTAATAACTGAACTCCGACTCTTTGAAAATTGAGCAAA